TTCAACACGAAGTATGAATTAGATAGCTGAAAGAAAAATGTACAATGGCCTCAGGCCTTAAATCACTGAACTAAAGGAGCAAACAAACACAAACATAGCCAACTAAAAGGGGGTACACCACAAACACAAAGACGGTGGAGGACCAAACAAAGTTGGCCTATGAGGGAATAAGGGACTAGTGGCTTGTCTATTGGGCTGTATAGATACTGAGGCCCTAAGACTTACCAATAATCAAAGCAATAAAGATCAAGCCACTGCAACTAAGCCTAGCTAGAAAAAATAAAAAAAGCTAAACTAAACTAACAAGCTGAAGAGAATTCTACCCATTCAGAACAAGGCAGCATCTACAATACTTGTTCTATAGTTCATTAATATTTATTTGGTGTGACGGGACGGGAGTACTTATTTTGTAGTGTTTTTTATACATTTTTACATAAATGATAAAAATACCCTAAGTAAATCATTTTAAGTTGATATTTGTTCTTTAGTTCACTAGTACTTATATGGTGTAAGAACAATATTTACTTTGTAGTGTTTAGGAATTTTACTTAAATGATTAAAAAATGACTTAATTCAACTACAGTGACGGAGGGAGAGGAGGCCCAGGGGGCCCATGGGCCCCTCCTGATTTTTTTAAAACCAATATATATATATATATATATATATATATATATATATATAGAGAGAGAGAGAGAGAGGAGATCATATAAGAAAGGGAGATAGTGAAAGAAATAAGAATAATTGTAGACCTTTAGATCAAACATCTCAATGGCCATGATGAAGTCAAAGTTAGTAATTTAACTCAAAATCATTAAGGATAATTTGGTCATTTAACCATCATTAAGGGTAATTTAGTTATTTCAAATAATTATATATCACAAACCCAATAAATTCACACCTCATCCTTCCAGCCCATTAAACACGTTCACACACACCTACTTTCTCTCTCTCTCACACATATACACACATCCAGCCTCTCTCTCACACATATACACACACTCACCATGTCTGTCACAATCGCACACACACACACACATAGTGCACCATCCGACCAAATCAGCCACACACAGCCTGCCGGCGCCGTTGTATGCCACATAGATGGGCCACCCCAGAAACACCGCTGCTGCGGTCCGTCACAGCCAACGGAGAAGTCCGCCGTCTACAACCGCCCAAGCTACAAAACAACATCCACTCGCAATACCGGCCAAAACTGCCACCAGCCCATCGCGCAGCCGTCCGCCACATAGATCGCCGCACTTGGCAACCCCGTAGCTGCCGTCCATCGTGGCCACCGGTGACATCCGCTGTTAACCACCACCCCAAGCTTCACGCCGGCCTCTGCTCGGAACCACCAAATCGCTGCCGGCAAAGCCAGACGGTTCCGTCACCGCCAACACCCGCATAGATTCTGCCTTAGACCGCCTCCGCCCCCAGTCACGAAATGCTCTGTCGAGATGTTGAGTTACTTCCATGTCCGGCGAGAGGCTGTTCTCCGAGGACATTTAACAGGTCGGCCGGTGTAATTCCCCGTTTAATTATGGATTATTTGGGATTTATTTATCAATATTGTTATTATTATAATAATTATTATTATTGAATGTCTAAATATTATTATTTGTCTAATTGTAATTAATTTTCTAAATGCGTATTTTTATTATTAATATTATTATTTTTAAATAATGTGTCTATTAAATAAATATTACCCAGTTTATTTAATATATGGTGCGATTAAATCGAGCCCGAGAAAATCGAAAAACCGAACCGTTTGACGAACCGGCCCGTGAGCCACTAACCCGCGCCCCGGCCCAGCTGAACCGGTGCTTTGACCCGACCCGGGTCCCTTGTGCATGTGTGTGAGTGTGTATCTTGTGAGACAAGATTATTAACCCTAAGTCTTATATATTCTCACCTCTCGCTCGATCATAAACTCATCACGCCCGCAGCCTTACAATCTGATCTCTCGTCCTTTTACCTCTCATCTTTTTCTCTCGCAAAATCCCGCTGCTCTCTCTCTTGCCTTTAACCCTCGCGTGACCAGAAGAGAGGAAAATCTTTCCTCCTCAATCCCTCCCATCATCATAGTCGCGCCATCACCCTGTGCTCGTCTCTTCTCGCCGGATTATTTCATGTCGAGAAAAAGATGAGAGGAAAAAGGACGAGAGATCAGATTGTAAGGCTGCGGGCGTGATGAGTTTATGATCGAGGAAGCCCTCATCCCGTCGAGCCCACCTTCGCAAAAACTCCTCCGCTCGCCGCCTGCTCACGCGACCCCGCTGAGAAACTCCGGCGACTTCCTCCTCCGTGTAGCAGCTCATCGCGACGACCTGCTCCTCCACGTGAAGGCCAACGATCATCACCCTGTCACCACCAACATCCCACCGCTGATCCTTCTCACGCACATCGGCGAGCCGAGCAAGCTGCCGAGTCGTCCGTGCACCTCAGCCCTATTTCGACCCTTCTTCGTCCCGCTTTTCGAGTGTTTTCCCGAGAACGGTACCGAGGCTCGATCTCTCTTACGTTAATTATGTGTTTATTTGACGTGTTGAACATGCTCTACGAATATATATATATGCCCTATGATTTTATGTGTTCGATTGGTTCAATACGATTATTGTGTGTAGTCGATCTCTTCGATTTTGAGAAGTCGAATGAGACCTCGTAAATTCGTGTTTAGTTGTTGTGGAATTGGAACATAACGTGTCCTTGGTCTTATGGTGAAGGCCTCGGACAATTTCGTTATAAATCGAGTCATATATGAATTGTTGAACTCGTACGGTTGCTAATATGGTATTAAATTCGTGATAAATTGTATACTGCTCCGATTAATGTGAAATTTTGTGTGTCGAGTCCTCTGTTGATCATGTATGCCGTTTAAAAATTTCAGATTAAAATACCACTTGTAGCTATTTTAATTAGTTGTTTTGATTACTAGGCATAATATTTTAGATTTCATATTAAATTGATTTGTACTCTAAATTGGCTGAAACTTGAGTATGTTGTCTCTCTGGCATATTTACATTTTTTGTAAAATTTTCAGAATTTTTGGATTTCATTGCTAGGGTAGATAATTTATTTTAGTATTGAGCTGAAACTTGTTTCCATTATGATAATTTGGTCCGTTCCTCTAAATTGCTAATTTTTGGCTGAAGTGCTTATTTAATGATGTTATGTGTGTGCAAAAATTCCCAGGACTTTTGGAGTTCATATTTGTTCAGTTTTGTTGAAAATTCGAAATATGCAGAATCTTGTTACAATTTTCATAATTCGCATGTTTACATGTTGTTATTCACATGCTGAGGGTTCCTATTTCAAAATTTCAAAGGTTAAATCGTTCATTATGTCAGTCTTTGAATTTGTGCTCGTTTTTGCTGAAAACATGTTCAAATTTTATAAAATCATGTTTTTTGAGTTAGGGGCTAAAATTTCGTGGTTTTACTGAGTCCAGTGAGCTGGATTTTATGTTAAAATTTCAGAGCCTAACTCATTCAGCAACCTGACCAACTTGATTATGTGATTTATCGACTAGTATTTCCAAAATATAGTTTTTGTGTTAAAAACTGTAAACCGGCTCGCATGTTGCTCCTTGTTTGTTTGACTTGGTCAACCTTTAGTCAGATTTATGTGATCTCCCATACGTTTTATGGTTAAGTATAAGTGTCGAGTCTAAGTGTTCCAATGTCCACAGGACTTCACGAACAACTTAGTCAAATCAAGTTCGTTCGACTAAGTATGATTGTGTTTTCCTTCTTAGGTCAAGATAGGTGTTGATTGTAGTATCTTGACTTAATGTAGGTGCTTGACGAGCCGAGCTCTCCGCCTATACATGCTTTTGTGTTATCTCCTACTTTCGACCAGGTGGGTTTTATTTAAAAATGTCTATGCCGTAAATTATTTACATTTATTGAATGGCGTGATCAATGTATGAGTGTGAACCATGTAACCCTCGTTGTGAGTTGTATGTCCTTCGAGCGGTTGTCCCTGTCGTTGTGAGCTGTATGTCCTTCGACGGTGCCTATTGATAGGCAGTCTCCCTAGCCTAATGATAGGCAAGGCCGATGTGAGCTGTATGTCCTTCGGTAGTTTACTCCCATTGTTGTGAGCTGTATGTCCTTCAATGGCTAATGTTAGATGTGTACAAGACTAACAAAGTATGATTAGGAGATGTGATAATTGATTGATTCGTGTTCATGTTGCGACCATGCCTAACTGTTATTGTATATGAATTATTGCATAGCGGTGAGCACTACGATTTCCAATTGGGCTCATCCCCACCTGAAATTAACGTTTCAGGTTAAGCACGGCGGGCACGACGGCAGGATGACGAGTGGCTGGTCTTAATTATGTTTAAATTTTCTTCCGCTTTATTATGAATAAGTTGACCCGGATTTATGAATTTGAATGGTTTTGCGTTATGAACGTGGTAATTGCTTTCGGACTATGTCGTTTGGAAATGTTGGGATTTGGATTTGTGATTTGGTTCGTACTGTTGAACTATGTTTGGATATTCATGATGATGTATTATTTTGAATATCATGTGGAGTTTTATGTTTTGGGGACAATGAGGTCCATATGAGAAACCGGGTAATGAATCCCCGTGAGGTTTCAAATATGACTTGAAACAAGATAATGCCCACGTTAAAGTTGATTTCGGAAAAATGAATTTCGAAAATGTTATCCTGGTTTTTGAATAAGCCATGGATTATTTCTTAAATCAAATTGGGGCATTACAGCCGGGGAGGGGCTGAATAAGATGTTGTTGGTGGAAAGAAATGGAGTGAAGATTGGTTTTAAGTTGGGCATCATTTTGAGAATTTGATAAGTGCAAATTTTGAAATTTTATTAAATTTCAATTTAACCCATGGGTCAAATCTATAATTAATCAAAATTACACTAAATATACAATAAATTTTTTATTTAAAAAAGTGCATAATAGATGCACATTACATTTGAGAATATACAACGTGCAGCGTTTCGGTTTATAAAGTGCAACATATTGATATGTAAAGTGCAACATGTGATTATATAAAATGCAGTATTGTAGTTTTGGTATGTTAGCATTTTTTTTTTTATTTTTTTTTTTTTGGTGGACAAATAATGTGATTGATAACAAATAATTTTGGCGTGATCTATTGACTTTAATTGTGGAATGTGGTGATAAAGTGCACATTGTTATTTTATAAAGTGCAACCTGTTGTTTTATAGAGTGGATTGTATCGCAATATAAAGTGCAATGCTTTATATGATGACATATAAATCATGTGTTTTTTAAGAACTAGATTTAGTAGATTTAAATGTACATCAGATTAACCTAAATAATTGAAATAATTTGTTACTTATTATTATAAGAGTATATTAATTGTTTCAATATTTTTTATATATATTTTTATAATTTTTTTTGGTTAAAAAATAAAAGATACACCTTTTTTAACGATTTATTCCAACAAAAATAAAAACTAAAACGTGTTAAGTTAATCGGTTTATTCGATCAGTTAACCGATTTACCCTAAATACCTGAAATTGTTTAATATTCATTATAAAAAATATATTTCGTATGTTAATATTTTTTTTATCACTGTATTTGACTGAATATAACAATATATTTAAGCAAAATATATAAAAATAATAATTTTTTCATATAGTTCGATCGTTTTGTTATTTCGATTTTTTTTAATTGTAAAGTCGGAATCAAAATTTTAAAAATAAACATATATTTTAACCAAGGCAAATTCGAATTGATCAATTTAATTATTTCTGTTTCGGGTACTATATGGTGCAGTCCGACAATCATTAATGTGCATTCTGACATACACTCACATTGCATATATATTTAATGTGAACATACACAATACATCGTAAATTTATTTATCATTAACATGTATTTATTAATTTTTTTCTATAAATTACACATTTGTCACACGTACCAAAATTAAATAATAATCAAATTTCACTAGATTGCAAATAGGTACTTTAAGGGCCTAATAATCAAATCTATGCAATTAGGTACTTTAAGGGCTAATAATCAAATTTTACTATTTTACAATTAGGTACTGCCTAAATTCCCCAAATCGTTTTCAGCTTGCCGCCACCCCACCGACGATTTTCAACCATATCTGGCAGAGATATGAGTCCTTGATGTGTTCATCGGCCTCTATCGTTCATCATGGAGCTCCTTCCTCCGCGACCTGATCTCCAGCGCCACCTTCCAACGAGGTGGGTGAAATCGATCGTCGGTTGAGATGGATGGAGGATGACGGTGGTGGAGCTCCGAACGGTGGACCAATGGCGGCGAAGTGTGGTGGAGCTCCGCGACGCTGATGCATAGATCTCGACGATGGCGGCCGGTAGCCGGAGTTGTTCCGAATTCGTGTTGAGATTGAAGGCAGCAGCGGATTGGGGCTCCAACAAGTACGGCGACGCGGGCCTGACGGAGGTGTGGCGGCTCATTAACCGTCGGTCAGATACTACGCCGCCGGAAGTTAGGCAGCTGGTGGTGGGCTACTCATCCCCTGTCGGTGTGTCTGTGCGGAGTTTGTGTGTATATGCGTGTGTATATGTATTAACTGATTTGTGTGTGTGTGTGTGTGTGTCAGTACGTGAGAGAGAGAGGAGTGTGAGAGGTGTGATGTGTTTTAACCACGTGGCGTGATATACTTGGACCTGGGTAAATTTTTAATTGGGACAAATTAATTAGTAAAATGATAAAATGTTTAAAGTACTCTTAATGAATAAATAAATGTTAAATTTTTTAGCCATCAGATCGTCCGATCTAATGACTACGATATATTCTCATTTCTTTCATTAAGCATCATTCTCATGTGAACACGATAGGGTCGCCCTCCGGTGAGAATGATTCTCAATAAAAGAAATAAGAATAAATTATAGTCATCGAATCGGATAATCTAGTATAAAAAAAAAAACTAAGGTTTTAGACTTGTTAAGGGCAATATAGATATTTTCCAAATCTTCTCTCTCACCTCACCCACGAGACCCACAACCANGCCCCTATTTTCTCTCTGTCTCCCGTCGCACCCACCAGGCCACCACCTACTTCACCGCCTGGTCAAGCCGTGTCGCCGCCGTCCTGTGCCATAGACTTCGTCAAGCACCTGCTTGCCTGGAGGCCCGAGCTCGTCTGCGAAGAAACCTGCCCCAATCGTCTATGGTGCCATCTACAGCACAACCCACCGCGCCGCCGCACTCGTCCGCTATGCCATCCGCGTCGACGCCGCCGTCTTCAGTGCCGTTTACGTCAACGGAATAGCCTTCTCGCATGGTCCGCAGCTTGAAGCATGTCAGAGAATAGAGTTTCCCCAATCGTCTCTGCCGTCTACAGCACAATTCGCACCGCAACTGTCCCCTTGCGCCATCTCCGACGGTGCCGGCGCCGCCGCGTCCATCTTCAGTGACGTTGACATCGATAGAGCACACCGTCACTTGGTTAATTAGGGAATCTATTGCCAACTGATTTTCTCTGGCCGTTTTAGGGCAACATCGCCGGCGGAAATTGGGAATTTCACGGCGAGGCATCCGATCAGCGGCGGACCAGATCTCACTCGGTATCACCGCCTCGTTCGTGGATCCCGCGGCCACATACCTCCTCCACGAAGCCAATGTCCTCGCCGCCAACATCTACCATGTCATCCACCGCCGCCCCCGCCTCCTCACCTGCAGCATCGACCGGAGGCTCAACGTCGAGTATGAAGCAGACGGCACGCCTGCGACAACTGACTGATGTTCGTTCGTTTCAAGTAAAGTTCGACATCGAGCCTAGTGTCGCAGTCTACTTCGCCTTGGAGTTCATGGCTGGGAGATTTGTCCTTCGGGATGCACCTTGGGGAGCTTTGGAGAGCGGACAATCTCTTCACGAGTTTAAGAGCATCTCCAATGCTATGGTGTTGAAAGGCAATAATTTTTAACACATGTCAATTGATGATTGTAATGTTAATCCACATAAGAATAATGTTAAAAGACTAAAAATTTGAATCAAACTAGTATCTCCAATGCACCAATTTGATAAGAATTTATTTGTATAGGTGGACCAATTATAATAATTCATTAATACAAGAATTATAAAAAATTAAACCAAATATAAAGTGAATTAATGAGTCATCATGTTTAACATGGTGTTAGATATTAGAAAGTGTGGTCAACATTGTTAACATTAAATGCCATCCACATCACCATGAAAGAGCTAATGACAAGATGCATTGGAGAATAAAAACTTTCAAAAGTTGATGCTATGGATAATTTTTTACAATGTCAAAAGTCACATTGGAGATGCTCTAACAGGCCTGATCCTTTGACAGAGGTACTTCAAATATGGAACATTTTATCAGATATGGCATTCTTTCTTACTGATATAGTTGTCAGTAATTTGGATTGGTTACCTATTTGAATGTTTAGCTAAGATTTCATGAATGTGTGTTTACCTGTGGGTATAGCCTGTACGTATTTTTGGGACTGACAGTTTAATTGGTGCCTGAAATTGTGATTCTATCACAACTATGAAGTTTTTCTTGTATATTACTAATATAAATTTTCATTTTAGTGAAATGTTGTAGTATGTCTCTGAGCTTATAGTGGCTATTTATATTTTTTATGTCGCAGGAAGCTAACGAGTGTCTTGCACAACAAGAATTAGAAGAACCTGTCTTTCAGTCCGTGGATGATGTAACCATAGACGAACCCGTCTTTCTTTACTCGTCTGAAGATTTTAGATTAGACACATTTTGCCAACCGAGATAGATGTGTCTTCCATGTAAGCCCTTTCTCTGTGCGACGGTGGCATTTTCGATTGGCTCGATTTTTGAATGTTTTTGTGCTTTAGTTGGATTTTTGGTGAATGGTGCATTTCTCTGATCATAAATCTACTTGTCTAGGTTGGTGTGTTTCAGTTTATTTGATTTGAGATTAGTTGTTTCTGGTTTGTATTTTGATGAAAATATCAATTGATTCAAGCAATTCAAAATGATGAGTGCTTTGACTTGCATATTGTGCACCCAAAATTTGCTAGTTATGTTCTTCTCCTTTGAGGGAAAAGAAAATTTTATGACATGCTAATTTTCAGTACTGCCTTGCATGAAATTTCATGTTATTTGTTGCAATTGGTTCGTCCAAATAATACTATGATGATCGTAGTTTTGTACAGTACCGGCATAAAATTGGTTGTGGATGAATTGGATGATGGTGAACCTTGTACGGTGTAACCTCCTTTTTACTTTTTGTGAATTGATGTTGGATTCATTGAGATAGTTAAGTATCTAGCATATGAGGTTATCTCGTTTTTGTACAGTCCCTCGGAAACTCGGTTCCTGGAGAAACTCGAAAGAGGAGAGAAGGGAATTGGTCCTCGAACCGTAAGCTATGGTATGGATGATGGGGATGATATCTATGGACTAGAACAATCAAAGGCCAACACAATGTGAATCAATTGGATGTTGTCCATGAGTTGTTCAACACTGCGATTTTAACACCTCTGAAGAAAAGCAAGTCTATTTACATAAGCATTAGCTGCAATTTACCAGTGATCCCTCACCCAACTTTTTTTAGGCACCGTTGACATCAAGCGCGTCACCAAGCGGGCCCCACTATTGTCTTGCCGGCCTGAGGACACATTGTGCCTGGAGAACAGAATGAAGCTGATACCTGGATCTGGGGGTTCTCTGGTGGGGAACCTTTAATTAGGGACTATGGGCCTTTCTTTGACAATCGTATATGGACTTATTGGCAATTTGAAAAATGTTACCTATATTGTAATTTTGTAATTTAGTTTATGGGTCAAATATGTAACTTTTCAAAACTTTAATAAATGCACAATATTGATAAGTGTATAATAGTGTGTGCGGATATGCACATTAAAAATATATGCGTTGCGTAATGCATATTATTATAATATATAATAATGTGTTCTGCGCAATGACTAAAATTAAAAGAATCACGACAACGTGGTGCAACAAGTGTGGTCGTGCAACCCTCGTCTTCGACTCTCAATTCCAGTTTGGGATTAGGGATTTAAAAAAAAAATAGATAAATCACAAGAATTTATTTGTAAGATTTAGAAAGTTTAACCATATTACAATTTAATAAATGGGTCAAATTTATAATTTATGAAAACTTTAATAAATGCACAGTAATGATATGTAAAATGCACAATATTTTGTGTGGATATGTACATTAAAAATGCAGTCATATTTTATGAAGTTATAGTACTTCCACTGTCTAAACACTTAAAATCTCACAAAATTTATTAAATTAATGTATATTGTTTTATATATTATCACTAATGAGAAGAAAATAAACCCACCTTAAAACTTAACTATAGCTAAATCCCTAAATCTAAATCTTAGCGGCCATCTCTAACTTAAATTGAACAAAACATATATAGATGCACATTAGCCCCTTATATGTTGCACCATAGTACAAGATTAATTGCACATTATAGAAATGAAGTAGCTAATAAATCTTGAACGCCACCTACTATTGCCTAAATATTGATGATATATAAAGTGAATCATAAAATGTAATTATTGCCGATCTATAATTGTTCGCCTATATTTTTAAAGCTCGACCGCAAGTGTATGGCTTCGCTCGTAGTATGTGACAAGCAAGGTCGTATCCCAAGAGATCAAATAATTAATATATCAAGTACTAGATGATAATGTCAACTTTATTTAGAAGATCGAATATGAGATGGATTAGTTAACTAAGAAAACAAATCAAAGGAAAATAAAGCAAAAATAAAGAACTAGCTAGAAAAAACACGTAAGAAAGTATATGGGAATGATAGATTCTAAGACTTTGGTTTCAATTAACAGTTGGGTTCCTTCAAAAGTATCACAACCAATGTTTTCTTTATCTTCCCTATAAGATGATCACAAATTTAGCTTATCGTCCCTCTCGAGATCGATAAAACCGTAGATTAAATCACATATATTAGCGTCTCCACTCAACACATGCAATTCAACTCCAAATAAATTAAAGGATCTAATATCCTCACAACGACCTATTAATCTTTCGATTCAAGCAAGTAAATTGTGTCAAATATTAAAGACCTAATATTGAACTCATCTCTCGAATTATGAACAATATTGTCAAACATGTAAAAGCATTGATCAAGTGCTAAACATGAAACAAGAACAAAATATTTGAATTGGGTTCAAAAGAAACAATCAATTATAATAAATATTCAAAATCCCAACATATTAATCTACTACCAAGTCTTAGAATCAAATAAACTAGCCAATCATGTTCGAATTCAAATACATAGACATATTAGAAATCAACATGATCAATAAAAGTTCAAAAGGAAAGAAGAAATAAAAACTAGGAATCTCGTCGATCTCTCAATCTCCTCGATCCCTTTGTGGTTGATCTTCCTTTGCTTTCCAATTGCTTCTCTTGTGTGTTCTAGGGCCTCTCTAATGTGTAATCACGTTTTTTCTCTAAAAATAGGGTAAATATGCCTTTTATAATGTCCAAGACCCTTCTCATTTTCTAAATAGGTAAGATATAAAAAACAGTCTGCGCGCGCGACACGGCCATTCTGGCCGTGTCACGGTCCGTGTCAGCTCCCAGGTTACGAAATCTCTCTGTTGAGGTGACACGGCCTCTGACACGGGCATGGTGCCCGTGTCACTGCCCGTGTCACAAATCTGCACTCTCCTTTTCGCTCGTTTTACTTGTTTCTTCCATTTTTTTCATCTTTGCATCAATCTTTCATCATCCTGGGGGTCTTAGGTACTCACCATGCGCCTCCAATAGCCATAAGCTCTACAAATATGTGAAAATATCTACAAAACAAGCACGTGTAATACCTTTCTAACAAGATATAGAATTATACCACAATAATGCAATTTATACACCAATAATGCAATGAATAAGCTCTAGATACTACATAAATATGGTGTAAAATCACACATGAACAAACCCCCAAACTTAAACCATTGATAGTCCCGATCAATGCATCAAACTCCTACCAACACACACGAAAAGACAATCACAACTCTCAAAGTTAATCATACACATTCTCAATATGCATCGGGAAAATAATATAACTAAGTTCTGGAGTTTTTTAACTTAAAGAATGCTTCATCAAAATCATGGTCAATACCTACAATCCACAAACCTCACCAGATAAGTGATACTCTCACTCTCAATAGTGTATAGGGAAATAATCGCTCAAATCAATTCAATGTTGAAAAATTACCATAAGCTTGCAAATCGTCTACTATCTCCACCACTTATTGTGCATGCAATTCGTGAATCAAAAAGGACTTTCATTTGGTTGTAATGTAGGCTCTTTGGTTAGGGTAGGAAAAATATGGATAAAGTGACGAAAACTTGAGCATCTAGAACTACAAAACATGAATTACACAACTTCATCACCTATTAATCAAGATCAAGCTCAAAACAACTTATCCCATACCCATTTCAATCAATACTCTCAAGCCATATAAAAAAAACTCCAAAATCCAACCAAACCACTTTTATTTGAGTCAATGCTAAAATATAAGCAACTATACATACTTATTCATTTTTTTTTTCTTTTTTCCTCTTTTTTTTCAGTTTTTTCAGCTTTTTTTTTTCAGTTTTTTTTCTTTCGATATTTTCTTTTTTTTTCGACTCTATCAACCTCATTCAACTTTCCTCATCAACTTACACTCTCATTCACGTCTTCCCTTTATCCACACCACAAACAATACACTCATCCTCTTCACATAATATAATCTTAAATGCTCAAGTAAGGACAAGAAAAAATATATATGTAGNCGAAATCTCACAAAGGGTCATATATTCATGAATTGAAAGCATCAACCAATATGTTCATAATCCAAAATGATGATCAATTGTATATCTTTCGTACATGCTAAATTCAATTGTCGAGCAAGCCCATATAAATAAATGCACCTTGAGATATTGACAATACTCAACGATAGATATATCCTGCAAACACCAAAGGTAACCAAAAATAGATATTAAAATTGCACATTAATATATAAAAAATATTACACATTAAAACATTATATAAAGCACATTATATTTTTTATCACTAGTTCTTCGCCCTCATAATGAATATTGCCCAAATTTCTTACAAAAATGTGGCCGTAAAACTCTGGTGCAGCTAATTCATTGTCCCATCCTCCCGTATATTTATAAATACTTTTTTTCTTAAATTCAAGAAATAGCCACAGTAAAAATATTCCTGAATTTGACGGACATATATTAGTTATTGTCAATAAACAATAAAATAGAATATTAAATAAAAGTTACAAATACTAAATATATTTTATTATATAAATAATTTTATAAGTGCACAATCATATTAATTGAAATACACGTTATTAATTTCTTCTAAAATTGTAACACAACAAAAAATACACGCACAATATGCTACATAATAATGTTAGACTAAATGCACATTATTGGGTGTGCGAATGCACAACTTCAAAATCATGATTTTATATATTATGTTTTTTCCAAACAAAAGATAATATAAAATTATTAAATTAAATTGTTAAAATATTAAATATAACATTAGTATAAATAATAAATTTGTTTGATTATTTAGGGTTATACAGTTAACCAGTAGAATACACCAACTATTTTATATTAGTTTTAATGTACGTTGAGATAAAAAGTTTGGTCACATTAGGATGCACAAAAGCGATCGAGACCGTGTACACTCGTGTTGGACAAGTGCATATTAATGTCTATTATATTGCACACTATTGACCGAGAACGACCGAACTAAGATTTCTCGGTTCAATTTTTTTTATATTTCGATTTAATTATCTATTTTATACTTTTAAAAGTTTGAATATTTGAAATCTATGTCGACTTTATTATTTAAAACAGTGAAACAACCAAACCGATCGAACGTTAAACGGTGCAAAGGCTATCGTATAATAAAATTACAATGTGATTTTTAATGTGCATTTTAATCCAGAATATTGTGCATTGATTGTATCATGAAAGTGCACTTGTTAAACTTTTAATAGATTACAAGAATTCCACACATATTAAAATATAAAAAATAAAAAATAAAAAAAAATTGTATCAAAGTCCCTATGACTTATTCAATTCTCAATAATCAGTCCCTAGACACAAACAAACACCAAATTCCCGTCAATCTGCCATATGCTCCTGACCAGCGACCTCCGCCCGCCTCCTCCGCCCACCGCCGTCCGTCCGTCGCCATCCGCCCTATGTCCACGGAATCTTCTCCCAGTGGCGTCTGAGACGAGATGCTTGAAGCCTTTCGATGCTCCATTGACGCACGGTCGCTGCAACTCTCTGGCGACCACATATCCCGCCGTTTATCTTCCTCCGCCTTTGTCTCCGAAAAATAATCCCCGGCGGCCCACAATCGGCACCGACCCGAATCTATCTACTCTGCCGTGTTGGAAGCCTTCTTCGCCGGAAGTCC